ACAAATGTTCTTTTAAGCTATTTTTAAAAAGAGGAAACGTCACTGTCCTCCACAGTTCTCCTTATGGCAGCCATTGTGATGTTCTTGCCATTATGAACGGAATGGAAGTAGCCGTCATTTACTATGGAGTCTTTCGGCGGCGTAGGAAAAAAATCACTGCTAGCAAGGAGGTCTGGTGACCTAGCAATTGTCGAGGTTTTTATTTTGGGAAAGTATCATTTTTGCAGAATTGGATTTTATTATTTTTTTAAGGATTTTTAATTTAAAGCATAAGTATTCTAATGTCTGAGTGGTGTTAAACCTTTGGGGGACTACTGCTAAGAAATTCTGCCCAGGCTTTAATAGGTCAGCCCCTGTCATCATTAGGTCATGCCTAATAGAAGTCTTTAAACTATCTCTCTAAAACACCGTCTTTTCTTTCCTTTGAATTAAAGCTGTTTTTAAGTTTTGTTGTCTTGAGCATTATTGTTGTTTGACAAAATTTTTCCTGGGAAGACACAACAGACAGGTCTATTCACCCCAGATAGGGACTTAATAGCAGACTGAAGTATGGACACCATCGAAATCCAAGTTCGTGAACCAGTGAATTTATTGGGGTTACTTACAGGAGTATGGGTGAGGGGCTACTCACTGAGCAGAAATGGCTCAAAGATAGCTACATCACCAGTGCCTGCCCAGCACGAATGGCAGCTCACAAAAGCTAGGAACCTGGGACACACTGTACAGCCTGCATACAGCTCAACAGGTTGCAGAGTGTCCTTTCCAAGTGCCTCAGTTGGTCTAAACCCCTTCCAGGAAGCTGGTCTAGTCTAAGAGTCATCTTTGCCCCTCAGCTTGTCTGATAGTCCTTGTAACTCAGCTTCCCTTCAAGGACAGGCAAGAGAGACGTAGTGAATCTGGTCAGTTTCAGGGACTTCCTGAAGTTATTTTGAATTGTCTTCCTTCCTGATTGAGCTTCTCTGCAAAGTGGAATGTTTTGCCCTTATCTGTACACAGCCATGTGTGTTTGTAATGTAGTTACTTTGGAGAAGTTGGGTCATTGTGTCCATAGTTCTATAAGAATGATAAGCACCAGCTAGTTCTTTATCACATCAGAGTCTATACTCTTGGACAGTATCTTAAAAAAGCATAGATGCCTGAGACTCAGGCTTGATCATAGTTTGTGAGAGTGTCTCTTACACTGTTCATGTGTTTTCTAATCTCTAAATTACCAGGGTGAGGCTGGTAAATCTGCTGGAGTTGTCCTGTCAGCACTGATAGAGCATTGGCTGATGGCCTCGGCTGTGTTTGGCAGCCTTTTTCCTTTGCATTTTCTCTGTGATCGATGCAAACAGCACTTCCCTTTGGAGAACTGTCTTGGTCGACATTTTATGGTATTGAGTTAAGGTGTGTTACTGTGGAAGATTTTATTGTGACTGTTCTTGGGAGCATGAAGTCAGGAGCTATACTGAGAAATAACAGGGCATGTGTTTTTCAATACTGGAATTAGAGTTTCCTTTTTAACATGTAGCCATCAGTATTTGGCTTTTCCTGTTTAGCCTGTTGTTTTTAAGTAGTTTTTGTATCTCCTCTACCTCACGTTTCTGCTTCTGTGAGTGAGAGAGAACAGGACCCCTTAGGGCTCACTGTGGCATTGGTGGTTCAGGCTGCAGCTAGTACATCCTGCTTGCTTCTCTCGGTTGGAATGCAGTGCCCCCGTCTACATCCCTGCCTTCCCACCCCGCCTGTCCAGGCCATCTCACCAGAGCCTGTTACACACTGACCTTCACTTCCTCTCCTACCTAGACTGTCCCCATGCTGCTTTCCATTACTGTGGAGAGCGAAAGGCCTCTTTCATCAGGCCACTTCCCTTACTAAAGGTCTTAAAAGCCTCTTGGCGACCTGGAAGACCAACAGGTCTAAGTGGGCAGTGGCGATGGTAAGTGATTGCCCTAGATCCTTTTCATTTCTCTGCTTCTGCAGCTTCCCGAACTGGACTATTTTTGTGTAGTTGATCAGTTACCTAGACATGATAGGGTTTTTTTCACATGTGTGTTCTAAACTGTTCTAAATAAATAAATTATAAAAAAAAAAAAACAAATTTTAACTGTGGGCCAGTTAGTGAAGGGAACCAAATTATTTCTGATAAGTGTTGCTGAGATATTGTTTTGCACAATTTGTTTTTATTATTGCCAAAAATTCTCAGCTGTGTTGTTCACATACAACAGTTTTTAGCATTTATTGCATATCCCTAAACTGATCACATTTACATAGATTTTTCCTCATGTTTTAGTTTCTGTTAGTTCTTAAAGTGTTAGCTGTACCCTGGAGGTGGTGGCGCACGCCTTTAATCCCAGCACTCGGGAGGCAGAGGCAGGCGGCTTTCTGAGTTTGAGGCCAGCCTGGTCTACAGAGCGAGTTCCAGGACAGCCAGGACTACACAGAGAAACCCTGTCTCAAAAAACCAAAAAAAAAAAAAAAAGTGTTAGCTGTTTCAAAAAGACTAAGAACTTCCTCTGATTGAAGTGTGTGTGTCTCTGTGTGTGTGTATGTATGTTTCATATATATAGATGGATGTGTGTGTGTGTGTCTGTGTGTGTGTGTATATATATAAAATCTCCACCCAAAAGGTTTATCTTTTTGTGTGGGTATTTGAAGTAATATTCTTAGATTAGGCATATTTTTATTCTTAGACATTTTGTGATTTTTTTTTATACCAGGAGGCTTAAAATTAAAGCTTAACATCATAAAATGGACTAACAATTGAGGTGAAAAGAAATAATTTTCATTTCTTAATTTGTTCTTGGCACAGACTTCTAACAGCACACAAAAGAAATGAGCTGGTGTTGCACAGCACTGCAGTGGCAGCACTCAGGAGGCAGAGTAGAGGCAGGATAGCCAGTTCCAAGCCAGCCGAACTACTTGATTGCAGGGCTTCTATACTCTGCTCACTGACGAAAGGAAAAGAGTCTTCAAAGTGAGCAGAGGAGCATCTCTGAGGAGTAAAGTCTGTGGTGGTGACTGTCCTGATGTGGTGGTGACTGTCCTGATGTGGTG